TATATATATATATTCTTAGAAACTTGGAAAATGCAATTATTTGCGTGGACATACTTTTACTTTAATATTCACAAATTAATTCGGCTTACCTTTTGACACCGGTTTGGCCTCGCCAGGAGGCGGTAAACCATGCACTTTCAAATATTCTAGCTGTGCTGCCTCATCTTGAGTTAATATCAGGGGTGCTGGACTATCGCATCTATCGTAACTCGGACTAGCGGGCGGTGGGAATACTGGAATTCTGAGCTCGGTCGGCTCGGCTATGCCAAAGATTTGCTTAGTGCTAGGTCCCGGAGTATCGCACGTTTCACGCGGTAAGATGGAAAACCAATTAGGCTCGGCATTGCTATTGTCTGAAATAATCGACATAACTAATTAATTAAAAATGTTGAAAAGTCTGTCCTAAATAAAGATTTATAGAAACTCACTAGAAATAAATGAGCCGTTGAGTTCTTTCCCGTTGTGTAGATTATTGACGTGGTTGAACTTGTCGCCATTCGGTATTGTTTCGACAATTTTATCCTCCATCGTTTTCACCAGTGGTTTCGTCATATCTTCGTCCATCTCTTCATTCTCCTTTTTCACTTCTTCTTTCATGTCGACATCTGTATTGATCACCTCCGTCTCCTGTTTTATTTCCTCGGATGTGACGTTCGTCTTCGCATCTGTCATTGTACTATCAACGTCATTATTTCTCTTCTCCTCCTTTACATTCTCCGAGCCGCAATTTTGTACAGGCTCCTTCTTACAGTTGACCTCCTCGGACTTCATCTTATCTCCGTGAGATTTCATGTTCTCATTCTGCTCACTCGAATTATGTTTCTTTTCAGCCTTAACTTCGTTTGGTGCTTCGTTTTCGCGATTTTCGGAATTCTTGCTTTCGCCCTCTTGCTTCACTTCAGACTTCTCCTCTATCGGTATGTTTTTGTACTTCTCGTCGAGCTCGGCTTGGAGGTCGAGAACCTCCGGTTCGGCGCTCTCCATAGCTTCCACGAAAATGCCGCCGGCGCATGCTAATTCCCAATATCTTCTCCAATACCTGTCCTGGCCGAATATGTGCGCACGGAGTTGCTTCGAAGAGCTGTTCAACTTTTGTAGTTGTTCCTCTGATTGCTTCAATAATTTATCCAATTTCTTACCCAATTCTTCTCCAGATAAATTCTTATCCTCCTCCTAAATAAAAATTTTTCTTTAAGTATCAAATAAATCTCCAAATTAACTTAAGATCAAATCAATATTCTAAAGTATACCTCTTCTGGCTGAGTGCCTTCACTCTCGTTTTCAGACATGTCCTCTACTTCGTCCTCATGATGAATCTCGTCTGGTGTAGGTGTCGTACCTACGGCAGTAGACGTAGTATTGCCTTCTTCCTCACCTTCCTTCTTCTCGATGGTGATCGTGTCGCCAATCTTATTAACAATGACACCCACGGCTTCCATTCGGACTTTTCGACTATGTAATTGTCTAAGCCTGTAATAAACAGAAAACAATAGACAATGTTATCAAAACATAGATCTGACAGGAAAAAGCATAATTTAATATGTAATGACTCTCTTTAATTTAATATAGCTTCTCTATCATAAATTATTTTTAATGAAAAAATATTATTAGATTTACGATAGTTTTTAATATTATTATTCCGTTAATCTAATTTTTTAATCAATTATTTCTTCATATCAACTTACTTTCTGATTTTGGTATCTAATACGAATCTCTCTTTCCTCAGCTGAGCTACCGTCTCGAGGCTACCCTCTATCTGTCTGATCACAGCCTTATTTTGCAGTAACTCATTGCAAAGGAAAGCGAGCATCTGTGCCTTATGTGTCGGATTCAACGCTAAGAAAGGCTTGTCTCGCAATCTTTCCGACATCTTCCATGTTTCGTTGTTATGTAAGTGCTCGTAGAACTGCGCATTCTTTCCCGAGCAGGTTGAAGCGTAATCGCCGCCGTTTTGATGATGATCGGCAAATTTCTTGTCACGCTCACGCTCAAGGCACACCCCTGTCAGAGCCTTTACTTCGCCGGTTGCGTTCGCGTATAAATAAATTCGCAGTACTTCACTGATGTTGGCGTGAGTGATGTCAGCTTGACGCAAACTTTGACCTAAGCCTGTGGTATGTCTGGCCGGTTGCGGGATTCCTGGGTCTTCAATAGCACACACCAACAGGTGTGTCATAACCGACAGCATTTCCTCCTCAGCTTCTTCATCATTGAGAAGGGCGAGTTGAAGACTCTTCAAGCTCGGTAGCGATTCCATGTCTGCGACAAATAGGATAATAACAATGAATGCCGAATAAAATGATAAATAGTTTTTATTCTGACAGATGTGAAACAAAATGTTCTCACCGAATCCTAAAGTCTCCCCGAAATTGTGCAAAAATTCGAAGACCATGACGATGTCTGCGAATGCTTGCCCGGAGAGCTTAAGTCCAGGTATTCTTTTGACTTCTGGCAGTGGTCTATGATCTAAAAGATTAGTTAGAATTAGTTAGAGATCATTAATCTAAAACTCTCGTTATTCAGAAATGCACGAACTTGGCACCCAAGTTCTTAGCTCGCTACGTGATGTAATAAGGGCAATGTTCTCATCGCGTAGTATCAGTCACTTTCGCATACCTGTCAGTTCCATATCCTCTACGGGTTTGCGAATTTGTTCGATTAACTCCAACTCGACTCTTCTCTGTTCCGCCCGCTTTTCCTTCGTCGCTATTCTCTCGGCCCTGGCCTCCAAGCGTTTCTTCTCTTTCTCCTCCATCTTCCGACGGTTCTCTAGTGCCCGTACCAGAGCCATATGCTGCCTCCTTCTTTCTCTTTCCTGCGGTCATTGTTAATCGTGTTACAGTAATACACAGGAAAACTAATTGGCACGCGCTCATGCAGATAATGTCGAATCAAGACAAAATTGCGAGTGTATTTAAATTTTCTGTTGTGCATTGTCAATAAAGCGCAATATATGTGTATATGTGTGTGAAATGGAAAATCACAGTTATTTTTTTACGAATATTACTATTCATTAAACTTCAAAAATCTTCAATAGAAAACTTAAACTTTAGGTAAAAAATCTAAGAACGGTTATATTTTAGAAAATTTACGTATTTTTTAAAAACGTTTTTTTTTTTTGATAAATATAAACGTCTGAAGTTAAACGTTTGAAGAAATGAGGATTTTAGTTGTAACTCGAGTTCAAGTTCATGTACGTTCCCATGATTTTCCACTTTGTATTTGTGTTACGCATGGATAATAGGCCAAACTCTACAACCGTCCCAAATTTCTCTTTCACGCATTACACATTACGAACAGTATTGTTAAACGGATGCACTGATAGTCATAGGAGAGCAATACGACGCGTCGATGGCGGAAATCGCCCTTTTATATTTACAGTGCGCAGAAAACCGTGCAGTTTCTAGCAAACCAGAACTAGCGGCTGCCCGAGCTACTCGAAACATCTCCCTTAGCCAGATCAATCCTACAATTCTTAAAATTTTCGAAAAAAGTTTCTACCATAATACGTCATCATATAGCGAAACCGAGAGTGAAAAATTTCGGTTTCCCTAGCACTGAACTCAGAAATGCGAAACGTGTGCTTTTTTTTACAGGATGTAAGCTTATGAATTGCAATGATTTGTGGAAGCTGAAGCAAATACAGATCGATTAAGTAAGCGGGTTTGTATCAATTTCTACCGATGTATAGATTAATTTTAATCTCAGAGTTTAACTTACTCTTTATTTTGTCTAATTCTTAAAATTAGAAAAAAATAAGGAGGTAAGTTAAATCGAGATTAAAGCTATTCTACATTGGTAGAAATGGACATTATTGCGTTAACGGACAAAAGTACAGTATGCCGAGATGTTGAACGGTACATGTAAACCGCGACACGTGATCCGACAAGCCGTCATCGTTAGATAGATCTCGAATTGACACACGTCAGAAATTTAATGGGAATGTAACGCATAGCCGTCGTGTGCACGCCGCAGTTTGCGATGTAACGCAGAGCCGATGCGAGTTAGTTGCGAGAGCAAGTCGCTAATTCGTTAATGTCGTTCTGTTAGACGCTAGATTGGGTATGTGACATACCAGCTCGACGGTGTAGAGCATCTCGCGCTGCTTGGTGAGCTCCTGCATGTACATCTGCGGCACAAAACACATCCACAGTCCACTAGTGCTCAAACCGCCACACTCAATCTAACAAATCTTTTCCTCGCTCTCTACTGTAGATGTTCTCTACTTATTTGACTGCCACAGAATTAAATCGTGTCGCGAAATCGGCAGCGCGATCGATCCTTTCATGACAAGATTGTTGAGCAATGCGCGGCAATGTTATGTTGGACTGACTGTTTCGATTTCAAGATAAAGCGAGTGCGATAAGTGATTACGGGATGTCTCATCTTCATCCTTGTAAATTTTCGCGATAGCATGTTCATCCAATGTAGGATCATTAACGTTTTTCAAACAAGAATTTAGAATCATTATATATAGAAAAACTTTACAATTTTTAATGATATATTAAATGGTTGTATTTAAGTCAATTAAATGTCTTAGTAATATAATTCGTAATAAATTCAAGCTTTTATTAGAGTCTATTAAAAATAAAAGATTGAAGTTTTATCTACCCTAAAAATTTTTTATTTGTGCGGATAATCTTTAATTTTCATTGTGTACTTTGATATTCGGATCCTCACTGAAGTTTCGCTAAAAAATTTTACTCGAAATTCATCAGGTAGTCCATAGTTAAAATTCATTTTTTGTGATAAAGAATGAACATCCCGCGTATGATATGTAATGAATTACACTTCCCCGAAAATGATATATTAATCGCATCAGCAATTTTACTTTTCGATGAATATTGGTAATATAAATAATGAGTTAGAGCTGTGGATCCGAAACACAGAATGTTAGATTATTCAAAGTGAATATTCTACAACGTAAATTAGAACTTACTAATCACTGAACATGTAAAATAATAGCGTTGCATTCCTCGTATATATCTGATTGCGTAATTAATTTCTTTAATTCTTATTCAATAAGTGTGCTATATTAAACATTAAAATAACACATACGATCTCCTAACTTTCAAAAAGTTATTTCGGAACAATGATATGAATAAATGTTAATATACAACGTGCTATTTTTTAAGATCGGAAACGCGTTTTCTAAAATGCAAAAAGATTACGATAAAAAGAATTGCAATTTTTCAGAAACGATGTAACTTTTGATTTAAAAATTCCAATATGTTTAATTAAATTTGAGATTATATTTCTATTAATATTTAAGTCAGTTTAAATAAGAGGTAAATCTTTCGCAAAAATCTATGAATATTTACAATCAAAGAGTTTGAAATCAAATATTCTATTCAAACATCCCTACGAAAAAATTACATGCAACTTACATGAAGTCTTCACTACTAATAAATACTATTTCCGAGATACGATAATTAATAAATTTTACCACGTAAAAAAATATTCCACTTCATGTGTTTACTCTATTTAAAATATTATTTCACGTACGCTTCTTGATAAATAAAATTTCCTGCCTTCCGGTTAATTCGATACGTAACGTAAGATTAATTTGCTCGGAGTTTGGTCTCATCGTAAAAATAAACGGGGAACGAGACGAATGAAGGCGATAAAAGTAAAACAGAGCACCTCTACGTCTACGAGAGACACACTCACGCACACTCACGCTAATCTACAGCGATGAAACGATTGGCGGAGAACGGTTTGTTTTAAGACAAGAACTCACCTGCTCCTTCAGCATAACCGCTTGCTGCCTCTTCAGCTCCCGTTCCTGAGAAATTAAAAGACTCTTTAATACAACTGTAGAAATAGTATTGCGGCAGTTGTTCGTTCGCGTATTACATCTAACTTTAGACGACTCGAGAAGAACAGGGTCGAGCATTAACATAGTAACGATTGTTGAATTACCTGTTGCTTCCTTTGTTGTTCTTCCAGTCGGATCTTCTCCACCTCTTCCTGCCGTTTTTTTCGTGCCTGCGCATACGCCATACACACGTCACTCGCATCCGTAATCATGTTTATCAAGAGAAAACTTAGGCAATTTTGTTCTCGTTCGCGGGACCGCTCGGTATTTACGACAAGAGAAAAAGGCATTGTTTTAGCAACGAAAACTACTTTCCCGTTATCGGTACTAATAATTGATTAATTAGCTTGAAGTTACCGTATCCTCTACTGGGTTTCTCACAGCGATGATCGAGAGGGTTGCAAGAGCAGAGAAGTTATTTTTTTATTACTACGAAGATCAGTTTTATTTTGATTATATATCAAATTAAAACGTAAATTGTTAAAGTTTTTCTTATAAATTTGACATTCATTATTACATTTCAGAAGCGAATGTATGAAAACTGCCATACAGGATTGTATATATACAGTCTAAAAAAAGTTTAAGGGCTTAATTTTTAATAATTCAAAAAATAATTTTCAGAAGTACTCAACTTTTAAAAGTTATACATTGCATATATAGAATGTGAGACAAATTATTATAAAAATGCAATATAATTTTCAAGATTTCTTGACTAATAATTTTTATTGACAATTGTTAATATTTTTCTTATGAAAATATTCAACAAAATTAATGCAATTGATTTCTAAAGCGACCATCTCGATCTCCGCTTCCTGATATATGTGGCGATTATTTACATTTCTTTGAACGAATAGAAATGGATCCTTATTGAATTCGCAATCGAACGAATAGCTATAATACAAGTTGTCCATCCGCGATAATTTTTCCTCGGGTTTTGATTTCGTGATATTCACAGTGTAATTGTGATTCGAAAGCTACGTGTGGAAAGCGATGTCTAAATAGCGCAGATCAGGGATTAAGCACTACTCTAAAGTTCGGGAATATAGCTGGAAGTTAGTACGGGTGCATTTATATTTTAATGCCAATTATTTGTTATTTGAAGCCGAACCTTCTTCAGCGCAGATTTCCTAGGAAGGCGCCGTAACTTTTTAATAATACACACCTCGGATACTTAACTAAATATCAAGTTAAAGATCTGATAAAGTTCATTTTAAATTTAAAGAAAGAACAACCTACTTTTATCAGTTTGCACCCTTAATAAAAAATAGACTACACTAAAGTTTCGGGATTACAAATCGTATCTTTGCGTCCTTCCCGGCTATATTCATGCTAAAAATCTGAATCTACTCTGCTAAATGCCCGTAGTTTACTTCCGTTTTCGTCGACTCGGCGATCCGATTATTGCGCTCTCGTGGATTCTTTATCATCGGATATGCTAGGCTCATCGTAACAGCTGTGAGATAACGCACGCTCAGTTTCTACATACCGATAAACATTGCATATTCAATTAGCGCAATAGGTCCTCGTAAAAAATCCTTGTACAAAGAGAGAGAGAGAGAGAGAGAGAGAAAAAGAGTAGTAAAAGCATGCGATTTAATATTAAAACCCCACCAAGAAAATGACGCGTATACGTCGAGACAGCAGCCAAGCATAACGAAGACTGACTCGCTCGTGAAATATTTGAGAGCGAATTCGACAGCAAAAACACGAATTGAAATAGTTATATTTAATTATTATATAAATAGGAGAAAAAAAAGAGTCAATTGTGTGAGATAATAAGACAGCGTAAACTGTTATAAACCAACACCATTATACAAGATGAACAGAGATCGAAGAGAAGTAGAAGAATACGTGGAAAAGTGAAAAAATCTCAGCCGAGCATGCAAGGAGCCAAGCAATACTCGCCTATGTATGCACATATTATATCAATGGTACGTATGTACCGTCGCTTAAGCTGATAAAATATTAAAGCTATCGTGTCGTTTTACCTAGGAATATAAAATGTAACAGTAGATAATACATAGTAATAAAAGTATATGTAATATATGTAATATAAGTGTATATATTTATATATATATATATGAGGTATAGGTGTCACATGTTCATTACGCGGGTAATTCGTGTGTCGTCCGCAGTACAACAAGAAGGTAAAGGAAAGCTCTTATATATACTCGTGTAGCGAATAATCGAATACTAGAGACAGGTTCTTCGAGAAGTATGGCATGCTGGATAATCATGTAGCTAGCTGTTATTTTGTATAGTGACAGGAGAAGCTAGGCACAGGAGAGCATTGCGACAGTCGGTTTATATATTATCGTATATATTTATCGTGCCTACGTATATCGTCAGCTTTAACGTGCCTCAATCGCAGTGTTGATTTAGCATCTAGATCCCGTGATTCTCAGTGGACCGTGTTTTTCCGCTGCCAATCTCGGAAAACGCCGACCAACGAGAACTCGACATCGATACTTTTTCTTTATAATCTTTCGGCGGATTTCGGATTTCTTGCCTTTTATCGAGAAAATTTTTATCGAGATAAATAATAAACTTGAGCATTTCGAAATGTACTTTGAATCGAATTGAAGACAAATTATAATTGATTTGAAGCGTTACTTTAATTAGAGCTTTATTTTATTTTTCATGTGCTATCAGTGTGGATGTAGAATAATTACAAATGTTAATTTTTAAGTCTTATCTTCAAGTGAAATTGAAATAAATTATTTTCCAATTTCAATTAAATTCGCTAGAATAATGATGAGAAAAAAAGTACTTATTTCAGTATAAAAATTTCAAATTTTACATAATTTTTATTTAATTAATTATACATATAATCAATACAAATTTACGATTTTTTTAAATAATCTGTAGGTGATAAATATAATTAAATAAATTTTCGAAATAAAAAAAATATATACATATAAATATTATTATAGGTAGCATAGTAAATGATCGCAAATAATAAAACAGAATTCCGAAATCCTCTTGGCCGAACGAAGAGATCGGCCACATTCAACCTTACGAAAGCACGGTGATGAGCATCTATATGCATGTATGTGTGTGTATATATGTATTTTTTCCATTTCATTACTACGCGATAAAAAGTAGTACGTGGGGGTGAATTTATGACGTCAGTCACGGATTCCGTCTCTTCACTTTGATGATACATGTCATCACGTTATAAACTTTTTGTGTGCTATAATAAGAGAGCTTGAAGAATTGTGAAACACTACGACTGTAAAAATATCATGAAACTTCCTATCGAAGACTCGTGCTCGTTGAACTTTCAGAAAAATGGAATTTTATGCGCCAACGTAAAACGTGATTTTTTTTAGCTGTTTTAGCTCGTAATCCCAAAATATTTAAGCGACTAACATCCAAGATATTATTTGTTAATAAAACACATTTATAAAAATTTCAAAATTCCTCGAAAAAATAAGAAATAAAAAGTGAATTTATGATACAAGAAAACTATTTAAGTAATTTATGATATCAAAACTATTCAGATTCTCCTTGTGACACATTAATAAAGAAGAAAGAAGGTCGAGATACCAATTCATTCTTTATTTATTCCATTGAAACGAGTTTATTTTACTGTGTACACTATTTTTCAAAGCAGAGAACGTTGAAAGGAACGTTGAAGAGACGACGAAGGCTGACGCAAACTGGTAAAATTCGCACGATATTCGTCTGTTGGAGAGCACCGGAAGCACTTATATTATTTCACCCCACGCAAACACACGTAGAAGAATCGCGGGCCGCGAGCCGGGTATACTCACGGTAACTCTTACCTCCGGGGATCTCTTCGCCCTTCTATCGCAAACCGTTTCCGGATCGCGGAGGAAATTAAAGCCAAAAGGAGAGACAGGGACATCCGGAAGTAATAACGACTCACAAGACAATATGACAACACTCATTAGTGAATATGATGTGGTCGATGATGGATCCAAGTGGCGCATATGTCGGGATATCGAGCTTCGAGATATTACGTGAAGGATGTCAATGGGGAAACGAAAAAGGGGAGAATCAATCCGGGTCCAGGCGGGCAAGACCATGGACAGGGTGACTCGGATGAGAGGGGGGGTTCGGGATGCGTCATACGACATCTTACCTCCAGAAGTTCCTGACTCTGCGTCTGGGTCTGTGCCTGGTGGGTATTGTCCGGCGGCATGATCGTGGTCGTCGTACCGGTCGACGTGGTGGTCGATGACAGGTTCGACGAAGACGAGATCGGCGTCGTCGGCTGCGGTGATGGCACAAGGCCCGCCGACGCCGGCGGCAGGGTCAAGGTGGGGTAAGGTGGCGGCGGTAGTACCGGTGGCACCACCTGCACCTGTGAAGGCGGCACGACCACGCCAGAGACCAGAGACGGCGGCGTCGTTGTGATCGCGGTCGTTGTCGTCATCGTCGTCATCGTCGTCATCGTCACCGGCGTGCAGTACGCGGCAGTGGTCGACGACATCGACGGTGGCTTCTTCGACGGTACGTCCTCGATGTCTGCCTGGTGCATCATGTCCCGGTTGCGCCAGCTCTCGGCAATGCTCTCGCGATTCTTCCAGATGGTGGCAACCGTACTGCTCGCCAGACCCAGCTCGCGAGCTACGTCGCTCTTGCTCTTGCCGCGCTCGATCTCTTGGATGATCTTCATTTTCTGCTTGATCGTGAACGCGAGCCGCTTTCGACCCTGTGTTGGTGGTGGTTTACAGGGATGCCCAATATATAATCGATCGCGTTAATTGGGAGGAAGGTGGTCGTTTAGCAACCACATGCGACCGGTCGTTCGCGGTCGACCGGCGGGGATTCAATCGGGGCGATACGCGGAGATCATACGATACGCGAATTGATTATACGGTAATATACGGAGCTAAATTATAATGACAATGAAATCATTTCTACGCAAAATGTATCCTAAAGAGTATCTCTTCTTGTGATTACGACGCAAGATTTAGAATGTATTGGTATGTATTAAATATTTTATCAGAATATAAATAATAAGTAAAGCTATACTATCGGGAAATAAATTCTATACAGTGGCATTATTGTTATTTGCAATAATGACTTTAATAATTGCGATTTTATGAACTCGGCGTACCACCCTTAAAAAGACTAAAATATGTGTAATTCCGATAAAGCCAATTTTAGATACTATAAGCACATAAAAGCGGTTACTATGTAAAATAAAAAAAAGAAATACGCGCGACATACTTGTTGACTATTTATGAAGATATTAAATAATATGAAATAATTTTCTCGGCTATTTCTCGTAACGTTGAACACAATGATAACACAATACACACATAACAAAATAATAACGCTCTCAATTACATCGATACCTTGCTAAATTATGCCAATCTTAATTAGCTTGTCTAAATGTAATGTGCATCGATAATATACATCCGCTTCGTTTTTCGTTCTCTACGTCCCAGAAAAAATCGATTAGGATCGATTATATACGTTCTGGGCATCCCTATTTCGCGTTTTCCACTACATGTGAATCCACGTGTAGCTACAGTTACTACACTATTGTGTCGTTTGACGTCTCCTTCTATTCTTTCAAATTGCACGGGCTGTGTGTGTATGTTTCGGGCTAGTGATGTGCGTGTGGATGTGGAATGCGTGTGTGAATGCGAGGAAACATGAACGAACGAGTGACAGTGATTGAGGGGGACAGGGTGATAATCTGGCTTGCGCGAGGATTCCGATGGGGCATAGTTTGGAGGACTATCACAATGGATGGACTTTTGAAATTTCTACAATCGCGCGCGCCTCTATTTCGACGAGGTTTTCTCTCGCATAGAGAAATTTTCAGAATAACGCCGATCGTATTAAACACGTATTCCAATATCAAAATGTATCCTCGTCCTTTGCAAGAATTAAAATTAAACTAAAGCATAAGTTAAGCGTAAATTGAAATTAAAAAATTGATCTTCAATTTTTTTGGAATCCGATGGAAATCAGTAGCGAATGGAAATTATTTTTTAGATAATACGATTCTTTATTTAATGCGTACTTTATATCTCGTACTTTTAAATTTTACGTAAGCTATGATATACATTTTCAGAAAAAGTAAATACTGTATAATAGAAATAGTAATATATAAGTATCTTACACGATTAAAAAGGTACAAATGATTGAACATTTTGCCTAAAATGCAGAATCGGAGGAACATCCATTAAAATTATAATTTTGATCAAAAGATAAAATTTCAGATGGTGTATACGATTCGTCCATTATTTCAATAACGAGTGCTTTTATGTCACGTAAATTTTCCGTTGTCAAAAATAATTCTTAATGAAATGCAATTATTTGTCTCATTATCCGACAGCATCGACAAAAATAATGGGAAACAAAATGTATCAACGATACTTCTGTTTACAGCGTACATACATAAAAGCATCAACAGTATCGATTGAAAACACATGGAATTGTTTCAAAACAGATCTCGGTGTATGAAATATCGAATATCGTGGAAAGAATTTTGGAATTTAAACCAATACTGGCATCCATATTAATTTATTCACGATTCTCGCGTTCGTATCTACAAAAAAAAATTAAAAATTCGGCGCGTGTATTTTAACGTACACCAAAAAGAACTAGTGGATTGTAAAAGGAATAAAACTTTCTATTCCTCTTATTAGACGGTTTAAAATGTTTGAATGCCAGAGTTATTTTTTTCCATTTTATTTTTTCCCTTTTCTATAACAGTTTGCCTTCGTTTGATAAAAACAAAATTGCGACTACAATTTTCAACGGTTTTTATTGATCGATTAAATAATTTGACAAAATTAAAAAGGGTAGAAATCAAATAGGGCGGGTAGGGGGTAGGGTGGGAGGACATGCTGGGTTCTCCTGTCACTATCGCTAGCGGTTGTTGGTTGGCTATGGGTGTCTCGTGTATTCTGGGACATTAGAGGTTGTAAAAGGTTCATTGGACGTATATATAGTATAAGAAAAGAGTTTTTCTATACAAGAATATTCATTAAAAAAAGTTGTATATAATATGTATATATAGACAGATGTATATATATATATACGGAGATAATATATATATGTATATATATATAAATACGGCACACACAGAGAGCATGCGACACGCACGACAGGTGGACAAAATACAAAAAAACGTAGGTATCCCAAATAGAATAAGAGAACAGTTTTTTGTGTGAATGAAACAACGAGATCGAGACAAACGTGAAGGAAACTCGGTGATAGACATCGACTTACCTCGAGCAATTGTTGATTCCTGATCTCCCGTTCTCGTCTGACGGCTTCCAGCCGTTCTGTCTTCTCCTGCTCCTTAATAAGCCTACAATGAGGGTATCATTAAGTACACGTAATTCCCGAGCAGTAAAAAGACTCGAACAAATCATTAATCAACGGTTACTAGTAAACTACTTGTCCATAAATTTTACGAATGTTAAGAATTCGAGTTCTGAATTAACATAGCGATCCGCGACACTGGCTTTTAGATTCTTACTCGATAACGTTTACGATTACGCGCAAGCAATAATCTTGCGGTAAGAAAAATAAATACGCGTTAATTAAACATCAACATGTTGCAATCGCGAGAGAGAGAGAGAGAGAGAGAGAGAGAGAAACTTCGGATTAAGTATTAAATTCCAGTAAGTGAATAAATATCTAACTTCTCACATAGCGATGAGATTAACACTTCAATAAATTTCATAATTTATTAAACTATTATTGACAATCATCAATATTCTATCAATTTTATGAAGTGATTTCAACACCAGATAATAACGCGCATTAATTTCTTTATATTTTTTAATCTACTCGAGCAATATTATTTAATATTTTTTAGAAATAAATTCGTTTAAATAGTAATTAATATATTTAAATAATGGAATGTCGTACCTAGCTTGTTCTTTATGCCGTTGCGCTTCTTCCTTCGCGAGTTTTTTCGCATAAGCTAGCTTCTCTCTATCATATTGATTGTTCGTCCGTACGTCTCTAAAACCACCGGCCGCTCTGAGTTCTTCCAGTCTTCGCGCTACTTCCTGAGCACCGAGTCGGACGAATTCAGCCTCTGCTAAACCCATCGTTGGCTGCAGGAATTCCCCCACCAACGGACGAGAGGAAAACGAAAAATTGGCGGTAGTTAATTCGGCTGGATTTTGATGTTCCAGAAACTGAAATTAAGAAATTGATTTCTTCTTGAGAAAGAAGTCGACTTCAGTAATCCAACTAATAAATGTCATCTGTATTTCGATGTAATTATGTTATTTCCTTATTACGTTATGTATCACGATGTAGATATGATAATAGCGCGCGAAAGCAACGATAGAAAGTTTAGCAAAGTACTCTAAACTTGCCAGCGACTTCATGCGAATCACTTTTGATAACATACACCAACCATCACCGGTCGTAATATGTTGCAACCAACCTTCACTAGATCGGGACTGCTCCTAAAAGTTTTCCCGCAGGGGCTGTAATACGACACGTCGCCTTTTATCACTCCCGTCTTTCCTAGTCCCTTGATAACCGTTTCACGCTTCCAACCGCGCTCTAACGGCATTTGAAGGTCTCTTTCGCTGGGTTTGAGTTTCCTCCTCTTCGCGCTAGGTGTGCCTTCCGCATTGTCGTCATCGGTATCCGTGACAACATCGGTGTTACTGCCGCTCTCGCTGGTCACGTCCATGTTACTCTCTTCTCCCGAAGCCTCCAGCAACTTGTTTTTCATCTTTTCCTGCAAAGATTTCTATATAGGGAGAATGGTTTTAGTGCGAAATCATAAGTAAAAAAAAAAAGAAAAACGAACATGGCTCCTCGCCCACGAAGCACGAATTGGTCGAGGTCGCTTCTTCTTCTGTATCTTCGTTAGCAAGTGATAGTACTTTAACAAAAGATAATCGTAAAGAGATACGGAAATTACATAAGTACAGAAGTCGGAATAAAAGAATAATGTTCTATTAAAATGTAATTATAACTTTTAAGTTAATACTCGTATATATTAAAGTTACACGTTAAAATGAATACTCGTACGATAAAGGTATTTCACGTTGACGCTGATAGCTGGATTTTACCTGGTTCTTTTCGTCACTCTGACCAGTGGCGACGGAAGCGTGCAATTGAGCCGCCAGTATATTCGACCTCAGCAACGATACTTGGTGAGACAATGGCACACTTGGATCCAAAGTCGGGGTGGGTTTAATCCCTAGAGCTCTGCTTTGAGCCAACAACGACGCGACCGTGTTCTTCTTAGGCTTCGATACACCGCGACCGAGATTTCGCGGCCTACCGTCCTTGTGATGGGTGGCAGAGCTTGCACTCTCGCTTTCCTCACTACCGCTACTAGGCCGCTGTGGCGAGTCTGCGGCAGCGAAAAGCTGCGCCAAGGAAGGACTAGGCGACGCCGGCACCGGCACCGAATTCTGCGGAACTCTTCTTGGCTTTGGTCCGGGTTTTCGTCTCGCTACAATAATTCATAAAGTTTTGGTTATCTGAACCACGTATTTTTTTTTTTTTCCAGGAAAATTGACTTCTTGGAAATAAAGACAAACTTTTCTATGGAGACTAAAATTCTCAACACGTAAATACTCGCTTGTGTATGTAAAATCTTGATGGATTTTGGAAACGACATAAATAAGAATACAGGACTATCGAAATATTTCCTGATTTGACAACTAATTTACATAATTTTGCTTTAGTTTTTCTAAAAGACTGATTTTAAAAAATGTGGAGATTTAAATAACAAACTATACTGCATTTGCAAAAACGCTTTTAACTCTTTTTGCTTCACGAGCAATTCCTCCATTAAATAATACAACAACTTTATGTCAAAACGGTTTTAAAAAAGTAATAACTGAAAATGCTACGTGCAGTTGCTATACTTACACGTTCGATCGGAGGCAAGTAACGATTGGCTTAAATTACTGAGCTGACTGAGCGGCTGACTACCAGAAATCGGTGAACTACTGCTCGTCGTAGCGGGCTTTAGGGAGAGATTTAGGGGCGCGTCCGAATCGTTGATGTTATTGTTCGCGTTGCTACTACTGCTGCTACTGCTGCTAGTATACGTCGGTGGCGCCGACAGAACGGAGCCGTTCGTTGAATGGGCCGGCAGTTTGATTACTTCCACTCGATCCACCGAATCTCTGTACTCGTTCGAGTCGGTCTGAGGAAAGACGAAACGTGCACGATTACATGACATATCGCGCACAAGTACAGATTCGTGTAGCGGATATAAAATTAAGGGAGATATTTAATTCCGTAACTGAGTGAAAATAAATCTTTAAGTATTCGTCGTACTAAAGAATAACAAATAATAAATGTTGATTGATTGCAATTTTATGCAGAGCGTTTGAGTGTTTCGGAATTGTGACCGACACGTGCAGTGACTGAACGTACCCCCGTGCGATTGTACTTTCTCGGTTCTATCATTAGCGACGAGGACGATGTCGTGTTCGTCTGATGGGCGCTAAGGGTAGGGACGGGCGGCGGATGTACGCTGACGCTGGGAGTGTCCAAGGATATTGTCTTCTTCCTGCCGCGGTTTGTCGTTCCAGGAACCTTTGGACCGACTATACTCGACGTATACTTGATAATCTCCGTGTCGGGAGGTAGGCGCACACCTCCCAATATACTGCTAGGATCACTAGATAAAACATCACTGTGAAATTACTTATTCTTTACGGTAATTGAAGTAGATTAAATTATATAATGAAGATAATTGAACAGTGAGGTTCAAGAATTTAATTGTATTAAGATTTAAAAAATGGGCCTACTTTATATATTCTAATTTCAATCATAAATCGTAGAGCTTCGTAAAAAATCTATCGCGTAATTGAATTAATATATTCACCTTCCTTCCTTCGCAGAACTGTCGCGATGGGAAAAACGATAGCGTGAAAATACAATTTTTTAGCGAGTTAAATAAAATCAATGTGTGGCCTTATTTATTAAATATGCGAAACGAATAATCTCTCACCTGACGACGTTGGATTGCGAATTTGGCGTACTGCTGACCGGGGTACTGTGATGAGAGGATGTCACCGGTGGTTGAGTGGACACCGGCAGGCTGCTGCTCGTCATACTTGGCGTTGTTGAGCTACTACTGCTAGCTGGCGGCGTCTTGTGACTCTTGCTTGACTTAGCTGCTCGGCCGCGAAAACGTAAACACAATTGTACATCTACGAGATTCTTTTAAATTTAGATTATCTTCGAAAAAACGTCCGCGTTCATCTCAATCCAAGACCGGCAAGACTGTCAATTGTTACGGAAGTAAGTTCATACTTTGAAAATTCTCAAGTTTCTACCTCATTAACAAGTAACCTTGTTTAACTCGAACTTGAGAGAGAAATTTTAAAATTATATTATAACTTCAAATATAAATAAAAATATACAAAACTCAAGCATCTTGCCCGCAAAATAGAAAATAATTATAGTGATAAATAAAGTGACGAGAAAAAGCCACGCAGATATAACTTAGATCAAAACAAATATAAAAATATCGTAAACAAAAAGCAAGAAGTAAAAATTGCGTCTCACATCATCAGACAATTCTTTAATATTTAGCGTTAAAAAGAGAAAACAGTTAAAAATATTCCGAGCGACGTTATTATCTCGAAAAGACTCGGCGATTGAGGATTAAGAGTACGGAGGCGAACGTTTCTCGAGCATTGTATTATGCAACATTGTCGATCGTTGTTACTTACACTTACTGGACTTGTGGGATGAGAGGGACGGGGGATTAAGTAGAGAGGCGGGATAGGGTGGCAGGAGGCTCTCGGTACCGGGCGGAAATCCTGGGAGCCCTGCCGCTCCTTGTAGCCTCGCGAGGTAGTCTTGCGCCGCCAGATGAGAGGCCATTGTCCACCATGCAGTGGCTGCTGGATTGATGCCTGCAACATGACCGATACATCCGGTAAATCCGCCCGGTCTATAAAATTCGATCTCGAAACACTGCTCAACGCTCGATTGTCTGGGTCTGGATGAGCCAATGAAAGATAGATATAACAAAATATTTTTCTAAAAGAGACGTCTTACAAATAAGTAAATTTGAAATGTCTAAAATAATCAAGATGTCTTATGGGAAAAAAGATCTCTTCGATTTGGATAGATTAGAACAGAAATTTTGATATTGTATAAAAGATTGAGATCGCATAGTGCATTCAATCAAACATGCTCTATTGCACCAATAACCCAACTTACCCTAATTGACAGGACTTTCAGAAACGCATGAAGGGGGAATGAGTATAAGAGACGGATGTGAAGAGGAGGATTTGTGTGGCGGAAAATTTACTTACCCAGACTTGCAGCTTGACTGGCGGCCACGCTGAGCGTACCGAGGCTGCTGTGAGGGTACGGGGACGGGGGTGGCGCCGAGGCTGGTGTGTGACCCCCAAAGCCAGGCGCTGAGCCCCCTCGGCCCAGAATAGCGTAAGCCGAGGGCAAATGGGGAGCCCCCAGGCCATAACCACCCGGCATCCCGCCGAAAAGTGACGACGCTGCGCTGTCGCCTCGAGACCAGTATGCTGCTAAAATTAGAATCGGGGAGACCGTTATGAATGGGTGCAAATCCGCGAATTTGGCACGTATCTCTTACGTAAGCTCGATAAGTGACGTCCGAGCGAACGACGCTGTTTCGCTGAGAAATCGTATCGAAGCAGAAATAAAGTTAGATGATAAAAACGACGCTGTCTATATCTCATAGTAGAGAACAACACTTATCGATATATAATAGACCGGAAATGCCAATTTCGAATCATTGATTTTCTATCTCGTCTACCAAAGTCGACAACTATTTATATATAGTTTATTTTTACTGATAAGTATTTACATACTTACGATAAGTAGACTACTTTTCTCAGTTGTCACAAATAATTCCAACATTTCTATTTTCTATGACTATGTCGTGCTTTATAGAATATAATTCTGCGTTACTCTATTTAATGGTGATCACCTCGATTTTGTGGTATTGAACGAACAGTGTGATAACTGTTTTGCATAGACTCGTGTCGATGCCTAGCGTATTGCGTATCAAAACCTGCCTGCGGCGATTTGAGTAAATTAATTAATTACCCAGTAGCAACGTGTATGTCATTTGTTTACGTGATAATGCCGCACGTTAGAGTAATAACGTTAATTTATAGAGCTCTATCGTGCAATGGAATACATTTACGCGTTCGCGGAAAAATCGTTCGATAGATCGAAGCGTACACGCACGCGAATCTCGTGTGCGATGAATAAATACGTTGCTCATTGGGAAATGATTTCGTTACAAATGCACCGTAAATGTTTGCGAACAGTTCGAGATTGTTAAACATGTCGTGATAATTTTGCAAAATGTTTTTTCCTCCCGTGCGAAATATTTGGCAATATTCTGAACGAGGCAAAAATATATGTGCATCGAGTGTACGAATACGTGTTCCACCAAATTGTGAATTTTTTGCTTATAAATTACACTTGCGCAAAGGAGTCCAAACAAACCGGTGTGCGGGTCTTCTTAACAATTCCACAATTAAAATCTCTACCAAATCGTGTTACCGCATTAACCGTTACAGACGTTATAATAATAATAACAATGAAGCACCCTCTGTAACACAAGAGCGGATAAATGATATAATTAAGTAAATTATGCACGTGTGTTAGAAACTAAGGGCATGTATCCAATGCAAACGTGATGGAAATAAATTCATGGATGCCAAGAATTTGTTAGGATAAATATTAATCCTACCGACATTAACGAAAATTAAGTAATTTTTTTTTAAATAGACATTTTAATAAAAAAAATCTTAATCATACTTTTTTCTTATCGCAAAATATTTTATTTTCGAGAAAAAATCACGATTATTTCTAAAAAGAAAAAATGAGATCAAAGAATTCTTATAGCTGAAGAAATGTGCAACTTTTTAACTCGACTGCGCAACTTTTGTTTAGAAATTCGAGTTTAACAAGCGAATTGTCGTAAGTTCATCGTGCAGTCTTACGATAGTAGTTTTGCAAATGGTTGTACCCAATCGTTCACGTCGTATTCGCACAATTTATTGTTACGAATGCCGACGCAAATGTACCGTTGATTTTCTACGAGTGCGACGGCCTTGAGCAAGGCCGTGGCATTGAAATCTGAGCGCCGCTTTAATTTATACCGGTCGTTGAACTCCATACTCCGGCTTATACGACTGCTTCACCCAGTGAGCAGCCATCGCCGCCGTTGCAGCCGCATAATAGTTTACGTGCATACGCATGTGTTTACAATGCACTGCCGCGTGAATACGGTGAATGAGACACACGAGATCAAAGTTTCATTCGTCATCGATTTTCCACGGTCTTTAAACATTCTGCGCGAAACCGTTGGAAACGGTCGGAAACCGAGAAACGAGCGTTTGATGTTTTTTTACGAGAGGTTAAAAATTCAACTTTCCTTTTTTCTCCCTTCTCCTATTTATCTTCTTTTTCAACGTGGCGTTCAGCATGATCGTAAGTAAATTGCAGGCCTAGAATTGAGTTGGCTCAGTTCCAAAAAATATCGATGCGCGCCAAAAGATCCGATAATCCACGAGAGAAAGAAAGTTAGTCGAATGATATTTGAAAAGGCATTAATCAATAGCTATAACCTTTCGCGCATTTTAATTCACTGAGCCCCGTCGTAATTTCATTCACCATCAATTTCCTGGATGCTACACAATATAGTTCGCGTATACCTCCCGGCTCCTGACCTCGATTGTCCACGGCGACCCTACAATATAACGCGCGGAACAATTTTCTTTTCTTAATGACTTAACGACGAGCGGAAAGTCATATCGTGCCTTCCTCTTTAATGTAGATACTTTAACAGCAGTCCATTATTCGAACAACCGGCGGCCGGCTAACGCATTAAGCTAACGCTATGGCCGCTATTTTCGGATACATTTGATGTAACGTTGCCGTGTCGGAGCTCGTATAAAGACAGTCGATAAAATACGGCTCGTTGGAAGGAGCGGCGACGGGAAACTACGTTTCCGTGTCCCAACGTTGCCTTTCCATTCGACATGAAGCTACATTAACATGTATTCACGAGTGGCATGACCTAATATCGTCGAATGGAAATTACGCCCTTATCGATTCGATACGACGTAAACGACTTGACGATGACGCCTCGAATAAATCAATGTTTTGTTTAGATTATCATAATGCAGCGTGCACAGATATCGTGAAAAAGAAGAAATGCGAGATGTGAAACGTATTAGATTAACGAGTACCAATCAATCGAGTTCAAGAGATACTTTGCTCTTTCACGTTGAACTTGTTATTTAATGATACTGCTGTTACTCGACCTATCTTGTATTTGTAAGATGTCTTTGAACGTCTTTCCCGTATTTTCAACACTACCGTGTTCAAATAAATCAAAGCGTGCGCTTATTTATAGAGTTGTTGCGAGTACAACAATTTGCGTAATCATACATTTTTATACCGGAATCTCGTTACACGTGATGTAAATATTGTATCTATCGCTTTAGCGCGTTTAATTATATCTCGTAGTATCCTAGATACTATTATGTATATTTAATATTATTATTTGCATATACAATATTTATATTATAGATATTATTATTATTTATAATATAATAGTAATGAGGCTCAATAAATTAAAAAAATGAAAGAAAAAGGGCTACGAGTCTAAGAGTTAGTCGTTAGAAATAGAAATTTTAA